TATCAATGTCAGGTCTATAGCCAAAGGTCTAGGTGAATAAATGCACAAGGCAGAATTCCAGGGGATTCCAGATGATTTAGGCTCCACTGAGTAGAGGGACTGCAACTAGAAGCAATGATGCTTCAGTCTCTTTATCAGATGCTAGCCAAGTGTTGCCTGTAGCATCTGCATGCATTTGAGAAAATGAATGGCAGAGTTACAAATTGGGCCTGCTCCTGGTAGAAAATGTCTGTACCTAGCTCATAAAATTTTCATGTGTAGATGTTGGTCTGCTTATCTTTATTTTCTGGCATTCTTCCTGTTTACCTACTTTGTTCTGATAATTTTCCAAGAGAGCTTAATGAACACACGTTGACTCTGATGGTTGCTAGTAATTATTGTTTCTCAGCTGTGTCAGCTGTTCAGGATTTGGGGTTGGTTGATTCAAGAAGTCTGCTCCAAAACTTCTGAGACAGGCTAAAGAATATGTGTGTGTGTGTATATACATATATATATGTATACATACACACATATACATATATATCAATTGCTAAAATGGTCAGGAAGATTTTATTCAATGGGTGCAACACTATAGTAACCATTACAATGGGGTTTTGTAGGAGCAAAGGAATGTTGGATTCAACTATGATTACAACATATGCAAGTAGTTTACTGCCAAGGAACAAGGTAGGGAGAAGTAGACAAAATATTTCTAAAAGGAAGCATGTAGTAAGGGGGAATAGATAAACCAACATTACAGAGTTCCAGTTGACAGCTCTCCAGGGTCATCAGTCATCATCTGGGGTACAGTGGAGGATTTGTGAGATCAGACAGTGTGATCAGATATAGAGGATCTTATAGCTTAAACTGAACAATGCAAATACAATCACAGAAGCCCAAATCTTGAGCTCAACCTGAAAAGCTCTCAGGAGTTGAGTTGAGAGGAAGGGAAGATTGTCTAGGCCCCAGGAGCCTCAGTTACTCCGAATGTCTACCACTCTCCATTCTTACCAACTCAAGAGACCAGAGTGCCTTCAAAGATGCCTTGCTCAAGACCCATGTATTGAAAACCTTGTCTACTCCAGAATAGAACAAATGATTACTTAAACTTTTAATATGTGGTCTACTTATCACTAGTAACAAAAATTTGGGGACCCATAACTATGTTTTAGTATCTTCCAAACTCATAAGGAAAACAAAGACCTTTATAACAAAGAAAATATTTTCATAGATAAAATACATTTCTATATACCAATACCTAAAACGTTAACATTTTTAAATGTAGAATATGGTTTATGAAAGAATAAATTACTCAGACTCACAAAAATGGTAATATGGCCCTGGATATCCTTCACTTTCCTGTGCCAAAGTATAAGTGCACTACGAAACTTTGTGTGTAATGCTGGGGACCAAACACAATGTGCTGCACACACTAGGCAAGAACTCTACTACTGACCTATATCCCTAGCCTGAGATTACTTTGTCACTCTCTTTAATGTATTTTCCTTATATAACAAAATGTAAGTCTGTGTAGATACAAATTCTTGTGCCTACACATTATATCCGGTAGGGTTGCACAATTTTATTCTCACTCCAATTTTTAAATGTTCCTAATTAGATTCTATTTTCATATTACTATAATAAGGAAGACAGGAAATAAATCTCTCATAAAATATAGATCCCATCAAACAGATCCTTCCAATCTGACTAAAGAATATGAACTCTTAGAAGCAAAATGGCTGGACTTTTAAATTATATTGCCAGCTGGGCATGATGGTGCGTATCTGTAATCCTGGCATACAGGAGGCTGAGGCAAAAGAATCTCAAATTCAATATGGGCCTTGTTACATAGTGAGAATCTGAAAAAAAAAGTAAACACTGTCAGGCACAATGTATCCCTTCATGCATGAGTTTGTTTCTAGAGGGTTCTTTGGCAGTATACATTTTATGTTTTTGTGTTATGTTTGCAGTAGTGTGGTTTGAACTCAGGGCCTACACCTTGAGCCACTCCCCCCAGCCTCTTTTTGTTTTGGGCATTTTCCAGATAGGGTCTCATGAACGATTTTCCTAAGGCTGGCTTCGAACCTCTATCCCCTTGAATAGCTAGGACCAGCACCCACCCCTTTCTTCCTTTTTTGACATGTATCACCAGTCTATGATTATATAAATGAATATTTTAATTCTACTCCTTTGTTTTTTGAAAAACTTTTTAGGGCACTGGGATTTATTCCTAATCACATGAATACATTCAGTCATGACTACACTCATTATTTGCATAATGCAAATAATGCAAACTGCTTAACTCATTAAGTATTTTTGTGTTGAAATAAACATTTGTACATACACCCTACTTATTCATCCCCATCCCTTCTGTCTGGTGCAATTACCTATCTGTTTAAAATGCTATATATAAAAATGTGGAGAGGAAAAGGATTGACTATAAATCAAAGTGCATTATATGCATATATGGAAATATCCCAATGAAACACCTTTTTATATTTTACACTATCAAAAAAGTTAAATACTGCAAGTAAGTAGTAGTTGCAAGTATTGTTTCTGGAAAGTCACATTTTCCTCTTGTTCTTCAGATTTTCACAAATTTCCTAAACTTCTCACATTCCCAGGAAACCTCTAAAGTAATATTTTCATCACCATAGGAAGTCTCCTTGTATCATGTTGTTTATACACACAAAGCATATTACTTACATGTTTATAGGGTACAAGCCACAATCAGAGTAACTGGAATATCCAAAATCTCAAATACTTTTCCTTGTGTTGGAAACATGCAGAATCCTCTCAACTAGGTCTATTTTGAAATATGCACTTGTGGGCTGCACATGTAGCTCAAGTGGTAGAGCGCTTGCCTAACAAGTGCAAAACCCTGTGTTCAAACCCCAGTATCCTACCCCCAAAAAAGACATATACACACTTGTAACCATTGTAAACTAAAGTTATCCCCAGGGAAATTACTCCTATCCAACTCCACTCCTGAACTTCTGAACCATCCTCTCTCCACACCCTACTCCCCACCCTTGCCAAAGACAGTGTTTGGAGCATTCAAATTTGAAGCTACTAAGTTGATAACTGATGATCTGTTGCCTGCTTGCTACTTGGATCAGGTTTCACTTTTTTAAATTTCTGTTTTCCTATAGTTTATTCCCTTTCTAAAAACAAATGAATATAGATGACTGCAAATCCTCACTCTCATTGCAAATTTGTCTACTCCTTTAGGGTTTGTAACTTTTACTTAACATAGGCTGAGTTGCAAAGAATACTTAAGAATTGTTTTAACAAGAATGAAACCTTCTCCAATTGTTTTAAATAGGAGGAGGGGGATGAGGGAGAGTGGGAGTGAACCTAACCAATATTCAAGGTAAACATATTCAGAAATGTCACAATGAATTTCTCCTGAACTAATGTATGCTAATAAAAATGCCTAAAAACAATTGCTCTACAAATTGAATCTTTTGTCAGTGTACATTTTGCTATCTCTAAAAGTGTTTTTGCCCTACAATCACTGCTCAGAGTAAGGTTTTCTAGCTTTGGGCATTATTTTCTTTTTGTAGTAATGTAGCTTGAACTATTTTTTCCATAAAATATGCAAAACCACATCTGTATATATCCTGGTATTTGAGATTTGTATCTCAAGATCTGCGTTTCAGAGATGCCCATGGGAAATCACCAGAGCCAATGGGGTTGTCTCTAGCAGGGAGTAGGGGTGAGGGGGCTGACTCACAGAAACTGTGGGATATCAAATGAATGTGTTTTCCTTGTTTATGTGTTTTACTTTTTTGTTTTTGAGACACAATTTCCAGGTTCGCCTGAACTTTCAGTCATCCTATATTAGCCTCATAAGATTACAGTCATGTGCTACCATGCCCAGCATGAATGTTTGGAGCCAATAAGTTGTTGGCTGTATCTTCTGCACCACTATAAACCTAATAGTCTCCATAAAGCCACCAGAGCAGCTTGTGGTTAGATTTCAGCAGCCCTTCACTATAACACTCCCACTGAGTCTACAGCATTCTTCATCACAATCTTAAACACCACTCATGAAAGCTAAAATATGCAATCAGAAGACATGTCCACAAAACAGCAATGTCCTGCAACATAAGAGTTCTCTCTTCCATGTCTATGTGGGAATACTCCCAGACATGCCATAGGTACGGCTGGGTCACACACTCAGCCACAAAAGACTACTAGGGGAAAGACTAATACTAGCTAATTAAAAGCTTAATCAAGATAAATCCCTGAATAACTCTGTAGAACCAGGAGACAAAACCAAATCAAGATTTGATTGAAAGTGGGATGGCTGTTCTCTAGCCAAACATTCCATGATAGCCTCCCACCAAATAATTTTATATTATAATGACCATCACCATTTTACCTACAAATTTCATAACATTTACCACATGCCAAGTAATAAACACGGCATTTAATTCACTCTTCACCATGCCCTTTGTCAATATGAAGAAACAGAAGCAAGAGTCTAAAGTCACATATAAGTAATGCCAGAATTTGCTACTGCTAATTTACTATTGGCATATTACTATCTTTACTAAGTTAGTAGCAAAGCACATTCATAGCACTCTATCACTGGAAAAGGAAATGTATACACTCATTAGTTACATAGAATTCTTTCACATACTTATGCTACTGCCATATTTAAAGGTTTGAGGAATAGGAATAAGGGATAATTAATTTTTCTACACACTATTTTGTATTGAAATGGGAGAAATGAAAACTGTTTAAACTGTTGTTTAAATTCAGATGTCAGCTGTGACTAATTTATATGCTTGATTGAAGGGTAGCTCTGTATTAACTCATAATTGGAAAAAAAAATCTTAAATAGTTTTGAAACAATTATAAATATTTACTTCCACCACAGAAAAGGGGGGAAAAAGCACATAGCACATTAGAGACAATATAGCTAACAAGATATAAATGGGCTGCAATGGTATTTAATGTGGAAAATTTCTATGGGTCTCATTTCTTTACACTGGGGACTGAATCCAGGGCCTATTACATGATGCTATGTATATTACCTACCACTGAAGTATACTCTTCACCCCACAAATTATTACACAGTACTGCTGAAAATTTCTTCTCATACCAAATACTTGCATACGTGAACTGTATATATGTGAAGCTGTTTAAAAAGCATGCCTGCCCTCTATCCACTAGATGCCAGTGACAACTCCCAATCTCCACTGATGACCTGAGACACAACCCAATGTACTCTGACAGGCAATATTTGTCTTTCATATTTATTTATTGATTGATATGTATTCTTAAATAATTTCCAATACTGTAACATTTCCACTCAAAAATTAACATCCAAATTACAGAAATTCAGTTTTCCTTCTGAATTTCCTTCTGAAGTATGAAAGCTGGAAGTTTTGCAGAAGCACTTTATAAAGATTTAACTTAGTCAAGATGTTCAATGAAACTGTGTGCTTGATAAAGCAATCTCAATTTATTGAACTTTCTCTGCATGACTGTTTTTATTTCCTATAAACTAACATGATAATAAAAGATGAAAGCACAGGTTTCTCTTCTGTTAACTGTGCAATGTAAAAGCACAGCTAACTTCTCTCAGTTTATAAAGTGAATTAGCTACACTGGGTTTGCACTGTAATGTAAACACATCATGCGTAACGGTTCAACAGAGTATTTCTCACTTGCATAAACTAAAAAGGAATAGAGATGGGAATAACTCTGCTCTCTTCAAGTAGTTACATTTGTCTTAAATCAGTGACCTTCTATTAGTGGCTTCCAAGGCCATCTTTGGGGGTCATGTTCACGTGAGGCTCAGGGTACATGAGAACTCAAAAAGAAAGAACATAATGGAGAAAGAACTTTGTGTGGGCTCCTAAGTGTAATGATCATCATAAATATCCACATCTACTATAGAGCTGAATTATATGGTCACACACATGGTAAGGAGAGACTACAAAATGCAGGATGCATCCTACTAAAAGGAAAAAAAAAGCCAGTCTGTATTATGCAGATTTTAATATGACTTCCTTGATACTTGATGAGGTGTACCTTCTCATAGTACTTCCCTACATTCATTACATTTTTAGGATGTCTCCCCTGTGTGAACTATCTGATGCCTGGTGAAGTTGGCTTCTGGTAAAAGAGTTTTCCACATTTAATATATTCATAGGATTTCCCCGCATGTGAATTCTCTGATGCACATTGAGGGATGATTTATGGAAGAAAGTTTTTCTACATTCTTTACATTCAAATCGCTTCTCATTTTCATGAGTGACCTGATGCCTGCTGAGGTATGATTTCTGGTGAAAGGCCTTTTCACATTCTTGACATTCATAGGGTTTCTCACCTGTGTGAATTCTCTGATGTACAGTGAGGTGCGACTTACAGTAGAAAGCTTTCCTACACTCTTCACATGTATATGGTTTGTTACCTGTGTGACTTCTCTGATGCACAGTGAGGGATGATTTATGTAGGAATGTTTTCCTACATTCTTCACATGAATATGGTTTGTTACCTGTGTGAATTCTCTGATGCCTGATGAGGCTTGACTTCTGATAGAAGGCTTTCCTACATTCTTTACATTCGAATGGTTTCTCACCTGTGTGAGTTCTCTGATGCATACAGAGGTGTGACTTCCGATGAAAGGTTTTTCCACATACATTACATTCAAATGGTTTAACACCAGTGTGAGTTTTCTTGTGTACAGTGAGATTTGATTTACGGTTGAAAGTTTTCCTGCATTCTTCACATGCATATGGTCTGTCACCTGTGTGAATTTTCTGATGTATACTGAGGTGTGACTTAGAGTAGAAAGTTTTCCTACATTCTTCACATGCATATGGTTTGTGACCTGTGTGAGTTCTCTGGTGTACAGTCAGGTCTGATTTACAGTAGAAAGTTTTCTTGCATTTTTTACATTCATAGGGCTTCTCACCTGTATGAGTTCTCTGATGTATAGTGAGAGATGACTTATGGAAAAAGCTTTTCCTACACTCTTTACATTCATAAGGTTTCACACCTGTGTGAATTCTCTGATGCCTGTAGAGGTGTGACTTCCGATAAAAGGTTTTTCCACATAAATTACAACCATAGGGTTTATCACCTGTGTGAGTTCTCTGGAACCTGCTACAGTTTTGCTTCTGCTTAAAGTTTTTTCCACATTCATAACTTTCATAGGCTTTTGCTCCTCTGTGAATTCTCTGATGCACATTCAGTTGTATCTTCTGACAGAAAATCTTCTCACATTCATTACATCTATAGGGCTTTTCTCCTGTATGTGTTCTCTGACGTTTTGTAATACATGAGTTCTTAATGAAAGGTTTCTCACAATCACTACATTCAAATTTCTGTCCTTTCTGTATTTTATCATGTTTGGTAAGTCTAGACTTTTTATAGAAAGTTTTCCCACATACATTATATGTAGAAGTTTCCTTCTTTTCCTGAGTCAGATCTTGAGCAGTATGTGTTACTTTATTAAAGGCTCTACCATATTCACTGACTTTACTGGTAGTATCTCCCACATGAAACCTCTTATGTGTCCACAATGCCTTCATGCTAAAGGCTTTTTCTTGTCCACAATATTGAAAATGCTGTTGCTCATTCTGAATGTTGTTATGCTCACGATGTCTGAGGGCCTTTCTAGTTACATTAAGACCATCAGGTTCCTTTCCAGCTTGCATCTCATCAGGCTTACTAGGGAGATGGACATTCTGCCGCACATTAAGCACCTTTAACCTCGTTCCTGAAGAGTTTCCATTCTTTATAGTCAGACTTGTAACATGGTTTGAGCTCACATTAAATATTGTTCCTATTTTAACTCTCTTCTCAGTTGATGTACTGGTGTTGGTAATTACGAGTTGCCACAAATGTCTCTCTTGATTTTTTTGTCTGGTCTCATTCAGAGTATTTGCTCTTTGGACATCTAAAATGATACAAAAATAGGAATGCTCATGATCAACACCTAAGTATTCCTTATGAAATACAAACATAAAGTAAGTGCCTTCTTACGCTAATACTGATTCGTGATGTATGAACTTTGTCTCTAATAAATGTAAGAAATTACATTAATAATTACAGTGTCAACTCATGTTACTTTGTTGCTTTAGGTGTATTATTCTTTTGAAAAATGGAGATATATTAGTTAAAATATTCACTTACTGTCTAGCTATAGGTTTAAGTGTAATGATTTTTCACCTGCCATTTATTTTTTCTGTTCTTTTTCTCTAGTTCTTTCTTACAATAGCTATGCATATAATCTCACCCTAGCTTCTTTCAGATCTCTAAGGGCAAGGTTTTCCTGGATTAGCTACATTTGGGTTGTCTATCACCTGAGCAGAAATATAGTTTAGAAAAAGGACTAGTATCTATGTGTATTTAGTTTTTACTCTTTCCTGAGGAACTATAGTAGAAACTTCTGGCATTTTTCCAAATGCAAATTAACTCCCATCCACACCAGAAGAAGATAGCTTACTCCAAATTCATAATCAAATCTATTCTATGCTAACTGGAGGCTTAACAAGTTAAGGAAGCTCCAATCCACCTTCTTGCTGGACTAATGGTTTGGTTATAGAAACTAAGTTGTACCCACCATCTATGAAATGCATTTTTCTGGATTCTTTCAACATTAAGTGTTAGCATTCTCCGCCTAGATCCAGGTATATGCAACCCTGTTTGGTAAGTTACTTGCTTCTGAAAGCTTATATTTTGTGTTTAGAGGTCTGCTGTCATCCATGTTCATAAAAGGAGTCCACTATACAAATCTATTTTCTTTGGATGATTTCCACAGATAAGAGGAAATGCTAGCTACAAATTCCACCCACACACAGAAATCTGAATCTTTCAACATGAAATTCTTGCTACACTTGGCATTCATACCCAAGATCTCCTGACTGTGCTATGGAGTTCAAGATCACCCCTTTCTATGCTCCTGTGCTGATATTCCTCAACTTCATGAATTCTAAACAATTCCCTAGATAACTGACAGAATAAATATGATTTAAACACTGGTATTTATTTGATTATAATGATGACCTCTTAACTGGGTTTTTATATCTATCTCTGTGATATATACCAAATTTGGAAAATACTAATCTCAAACCAAATGATTAATAATCTTAAAACTGCCTTCCCTTTCAACTTTTCCTAAAATAAAACACTGTATTTTTTTCTTTCTCACAAATATTCTTTGTGGTCCTTATTCCTCTACCAAATATTATATATTTGTTTCACTTTTATCTCTCAATAGAATGTTGAAACTTAGTTTCCAGAAGCTGTTTAAAAAGGGGATGCATTTGTTTCATAATTACTATCCCACAATTTAAAAAGATCAGTTTCTAAGAATAAATACCAAGTGCTGAAAGAACTAACTCTGAACAAATGCCTTGGGGAGATCAGGGACAGAATGGATCACGTAATGGGCTATGAAAATTGAGTAAGGAAAACTGAAAAATTCAGAGGAAGTACCTAACAAACAAAAATGTCTTCAACAGGGATTAGATTTTTAGTAAATCTAATGAAATATGTATTAACAAAAAAAGGAAAGGGGAGATGGACTTACATGTGAGGGCTCTCTTTTTAAACTATATAAAGCAAATGTATGATGCATGAGATCACCTGTGCTCAGGACAGGGACCTAAGGGAAAACTGGTGAAAATCACTCAACATGGCCAATATCTAATGAGCTCTCCTCAACATGGTCTTCCAGTAAGCATTCACTGACCTCGGCAGTTCCAGTTCGCAGCTTTTTCTACCATCCATGGCCCAGAGCCTTGTTCCAACTTGAAAATCACCTCAGGTTTAGTAATGCAATGACCTGTTAACAAGAAATAATGTCAAATTTGTGCCAAACTGCTATGCCAAGTATGCCAAAAACATGATCTCCAGCTCAGGAGCTGTGTGATGATGAGACCAATCTGAACATTTTGTGAAAGAGCATTTACACTCACATTCTTCATGGACTGGGATTAAACTGCTTGAGAAACAAATCAAAATAAAGATTCTTAAAAAGCTTAAGGAAACACAAAAGTATTTAGGCAGACAATACAATGAAAACAGGCAATTCATGATATACAGGAGATGATCAAAGAGGTAAGAGGTCATAAAAAAAAAAAGAACTAAATTAAGGAAACTTTAAAAAAATAAATAAACACCACAAGCTGAAACCCTCAACTGCAGAATTAATTACAGGAATCAATCTCTGATCTTGATGACAGGTATTTTTAAATAACATGGTCAGATTTTCAAAGGGGAAAAACATTAAAAGAACGACAAAAACTTTGAAGATTTTTGATATCATTGAGCAAGCAAATGTGTGCATAGCAGGTGGTCCAGAAGAAGAGAATGGACACAGGAACAACAAAAATTCAATGACATGAATGGTAGAAACTTTTTTTTTTTGTGATACCAGGGTTTAAACTCAGGGCCCTGCACTTGCTAGGCAGGGACTCTACCACTTGAGCCACTCTGCCAGGCCTTTCTTGGGTTGGTTATTTTTCAAGATAGAGTCTCTCAAACTATTTGCCTGGGCTCACTTTGAACCACAATCCTCATGAACTCTATGTCCTGAGTAGCTAGGATTACAGGCATGAGCCTGGTGAAAACTTCTCACTCATGGTAAAGATATAGACAACCAGGTCCAAGAAGCTCAAGGAACCCCTAACATATTTGACCAAAAGAGGCTGGGCATTTGTGGCTCATGCCTATAATCCTAGCTACTCAGCAGGCAGAGATCAGGAAGACTGCAGTTCAAAGCCAGCCTGAGGCAAACAGTTTACAAGACCTTATCTTGAAAAGCCAAATACAAAACCAGGGCTGCTGGAGTGGCTCAAGTGGTAGAGTACCTGCCTAGGAAGCCTACCAAGTGTGAGGTCCTGAGTTCAAGCCTCATTACCATCCACCCCTCCAAAAAAAAAAAAAATGCATCAAGTCATTTATTTAAAACAAACAAAAAAACATGCAAAAAAACTTCCAGCCAAGAATACTATTCCCAGAAAATTTATCCTTCAGAAACAGAGAAGTAGATTTTTCAAGTGAAAACAGAGTTCATCATCACTAGACCAATCCTAACTAAAATGCTTGAGTCCTATACTCAAAGTTAAAGGGTAACTACCACCATAAAAACATATCAAAGTTTGAAAGTCAATGGTAGAGCAGATATACAAAAGAGAAAGAGAATGAACCCCTATCAATATAGAAAACCACCAAAGAACAAAAATTAACACAGAAAGCTGGGAGCCAGTGGTTCACGTCTATAATCTTAGCTACTCAGAAGGCAGAGATCAGGAGGATCACAGTTTGAGGGCTGGCAGAGTGGCTCAAATGGTAAAGCGCCTGCCTACCAAGTGTGAGGCCCTGAGTTCAAATCCCAGTACCACAAAAAAATTAACAAAGATATAAAAAGAATACACAAAGCAAATACACAGAAGAAAATGAGAGTACATATCACTTCATCAATAATAACCTTTAAATAGACAGATTAAAATTCTCAATAAAAGATAATATACTGACTGGAAGAATAAAAATAAATGGCATACTATCTAAAATAAAATGACTTTACCAGTAACAACAAAAATGGACTGAAAGTAAAGAGATGGGAAAAGACATCATGGAAAAAAAGCAAGCAGGCAGAAGCACCTATACTTATACCACATAAAATACATTTTATAACAAAATTTGCAAAAAGAGACAAAGAGCATCACTATATAATAATAAAAGGATCAATTCTGTAAGAATAAATGGCACAATTGTAAATATACACACATTCAATGATGGAGACTCCAACTTAATAAGCAAACATTATTAGATCTAAAAGAGGTAGACTTTAATACGATTAATACCTGGTGAATACAACAACCATTATCATCAATGGACAGATCATTCTGACAAAAAAAATAAATAAACATTACAGTTAAACCACACTGTAGACTAAACAGACTTAACAGAAATTTACAGAACATTTCACTCAACAGCTAAAGAAAAAATATGTCTCATCAGCACAAGGGATATGTTCCAAGACAGGCCAAATGTTAGGTCACAAAATAAGTCTCAACAAGTTTAAAAACAAAGGAAGGAACAAACCAAAAAATGGACGTCATCCCATGTGTCTGCTCTGACCACAATGGAATAAAACTAGAACTTGACATTAGAAATTACACAAATAAATGGGAAAAGAAAATTTGGCCACAGTGGGGACTGAGCCCAGAGCCTTAAGCAGACTAGGCAAGCACTCTAGCACTTGAGCCACACCCCCAGCCATTTTATTTGTATTTTGTTTTTGAGACAGGGTCTCGTACCTAACTATAACAGTACCCTTACCCAGGCTGGCCTTGAATTCACAATCTCCCTGCCACCACCTCCTGAGTAGCTAGGAATGTAGACATATGCACCCATAAACCAAGCCCAAATATATGGAAATTAAATAACATTCTCTTTAATGATCAATGGGAAGAGGTCAAAACGCATTTAAAAATTTATTGAAACAAATGAGTATTAAAACAGACCATACACTAGGTGCTGGTGCCTCACGCCTATAATCCTAGCTACTCAGAAAGCAGAGATCAAGAGGATCACAGATCAAAGCCAGCCCAGACAAACAGTTCTCGAGATCCTATCTTGAAAATACCCAACACAAAAAGGGCTAGCAGAGTACTTAAGTGGTAAGAGTGCCTGCCTAGCAAGCATGAGGCCCTAAGTTCAAGCCCCAGTACCACCAAAAAAAAAAAGTAGAAAAGTATATAGCAGTACTTCATCGAAAAAAAAAGAACAGATTTTAAACAACCTAATGTTGCAACTCAAGGAACTAGAAAAGCAAAATAAACCAAACCCAAAGTGGAAGAAAATAAAGATCAGAGCAGAAATGAAGAACATTGAGATTGAAATATATACGTGTGCATAAAGGATCAATAGAACAAAAAGGTTTTTGAATGGATGAAACTAACAAATTTTTACCTAGGCTACCAAGAGGAAAAAAATGGAAATGAAAAAGAATACATCCCAAGTGATACCAAAGAAATACAAAGGATCATTAGTGAATATTATGAACAACTGTAGAAGAACTAATTAGAAAATCTAAAAGAAATGGATAAATTGCTGGGCATATATAAACTACCAAAATTGAACAATGAGAACACACAAAATCTGACAAATAAAAGTATTAAGATTCAATCGGTAATAAAAAGTCTCCCAAAAAAATAAAGTTCAGGACCAGATAAGTGTCATTGTTAAATTTTTACCAAATTTTACAAGAACTAACACTAATTCTCCTCAAATTATTCCAAAGTATTGAAGGGGAGGGAATCCTTCCACAGACCAGCATTATCCTGGTATCAAAACCAGACAAGGGACAGGTGAAGTGACTAAAGTGGTAGCATGAGAGCCTGAGATCAAACCCCATACTGCCAAATAACAGACAAGGACACAAGAAAAAACTACAGACTAGTATCTCCAACGAAATTCTCAACAAAATACCAAATAAAATCCATGACTATATAAAGAAAGACTATACACCATGATCATGTGTGACTTGTCCAGAGATACAATGATATTAACCTATGTAAACTGATAAGCATAATTCATCATATGAAGGATTACAAACCATATGAACATCAAAAGACACAGAAAGACACCTGATATAATTCAACACCCTTTTATTATAACACTCAAAAAATTCAGACATAGAAGGATAGCCCTCAACACTAAGGGTTACATAAGACAGACCCACATCCCATACCTTAATGAATGGGGAAAACCCTGAAATTATTTCCAGTAGACCTGGAACAAGACAAGAATGTCCACTTTCACTACTCTTATTCAATACAGTATTGGAAGGCCTAGTCATAGAAATAAGACAAGGAATCAAAATAAAGTTCATCCGAATCAGAAAGGAGGTCAAATTATCCTTACTTGTAGACTACATGATTTATATACAGAAGAACCAATAGACCCCAAGAAAAACCTTAGAATGGATAAATGATTTCAGAAAGATTGCAGGAAACAAAATCAAGATACAAAGATGAGTAGTGTTTTTATATATAAATAATGAAACTGCTAAGCTAGAAATCAAGACACCAATTTCCTCATAACAATAAAATAATTACTAAGAAGGATGACAGACTTCTACAATGAAAATTATAAAACACTGATGAAAGAAATTAAAGAGGACACAAACAAAGGAAAGACATCCCACCATCATGATTCCAAGAATAGTTAAAATGTCCATACTACCCTAGGTGATTTACAGATTCAATGTAATCCTCATCAAAATACCAATGACATTTTCACACAGCTGAAAAACAATTCCTAAATGTTAAGCACAAAAGATCCCCAGTCAAATCAATCTTGAACAAAAAGAACCTAGAGTCATCACATACTACAAAGAGACAGTAATCAAAATATCATGGTACTGACATAAAAGACAAATAATCCAATAGAATGTAACAGAGAAACCAGTAACAAATCCATATATTTACAGTCAACTGATTTTCAAAGGGAGCAGAAACATACATTTAAAAAGGAAATTCACTTGCCAAGCATGGTGACACACACCAGTAATTCCAGTCGCTTGAGAGACCAAGGCAGGAGGATTGTTAAGTTTGTTCAAAGTCAACAAGCAATTTGGCAAGATACTATCTCAAAAAAAAAGAAAAGTAGCTCTCTTCAAAAAATGCCAGGAAAACTAGATAACGATATGCACAATAAAGGTATAAGATCCTCTATCTCTTAACATACGGAGAAAGCAAATCAAAAACCTGAAGCTATAAAACTACTACCAAGGGAAAACACTTCAGGCCACAGATCTAGGCAAAATTGTTTTCTGGTGTTTTGGCTTTTGTTTGTTTTTGAGACAAGTCTCCCTATGTTGCCCAGAATGGTCTTGAATTCCTAAACATGAGTGATGTTTCTGCCTCAGCCTCCTAAACACATGCCATCATGCCAGGCAGAGATTTTTAAGAGGAACTCAAAAGCACAGCCAACAATGGCAAAAATGAATGGAATTACATCAAACTAAAAATCTTCTGTTCAGAAAAGCAAACAATCAACAGGCATGTTGCAAACTATTTACCCAACAAAAGATTAATTTCTGGAACATATAAGGAACACAGACAAGTCAACAGCAGAAAAACAAGTAATCTGATTAAAAACTGAACAAATGATCTGACTAAACATTCCTTCAAAAGTATAAGAATAAATGTTCAACGTCACTAATCATCAGGGAAATGCAAATAAAAAACACAGTGAGATACAATGATTATTACCAAAATCACACAAAGTAACAAATGCAAGGATACAGAGAAACGAACACTCTCCTTCCTACACTGCTGGTGGGAATATGAAATAGTTTAAGCTATGAAAAACAATATAAAGGTTCCTCAAAAAATAGAAATAGGGATTGGTGGAGTGGCTCAACTGGTAGAGTGCCTACCTAGCTGCATGAGTCCGAGTTCAAGCCCCAAAACCAAAAAAGAATATAAACAGAACTACCACATTATTATGATATAGTTTTCACACCAGTGAAAATATATATAAACACTCAAAGGACATGAAGTCAGCATTGTGAAAGAAAGCTGCACTTACACATTTATTATAGTGCTATTCACAAAAGCCACAATATGGAATCAACCTAGGTATCCACCAAAAGATGAATGAATAAAGAAAATGTGGTATATATGCATAAGGGAATATTACACAGTCATTAAAAAACAAAATTATTTCATTTACAATAATGTGGATGGAACTGGAAGACATTTTTGTTAAGTGAAAGATACAGAAAAGATAAATATTGAACATTCTCACTTATATGCACAAGCTAAAGATGACCTCAAAGAAACAGAGGAATAGTGGTTACCAAATCCTGGGAAGGAAATAAGGGAGGGATGGATGGAGAAAATGATAGTTAACACAACAGTGCAGCTAAGCAGGATATAGCACAGAGGATAACTATGGTTGAAAAAAATTAAGTATTTCAAAATACCTAACACAGAGGATTTAGGTTCCAAATATAAAGAAATGGTATGTCTGAGTTTGTTCTTTCCAATTACTGATCATTACACATTTTACACTGTATTAAAATATCACACTGTAACATTATACCCCATAAATAGGTATACATACTATGTGTCATTTATACATACATACACATATGTGTATATGTGTATTTATATTAGCATTAAAATTTAGAAGTGGTTCCTATATTTACCAACAAAGAAGGTGCTTCTCAAAAGAACAGTGGGGACTTTTGCTCACCCAAGGACACCAGGCTGCTGTAGGTCTCCAACATCACATCCCTGTAGAGGTTTCTCTGAGCATCATCCAGGTCCTGCCACTCCTCCCAAGTGAAGTCCACAGATACATCCTCAAACGACACGAACCCCTGTAATGAAACATTTCACCTCAACCAAAGCCTTTGACCCTGGGACAGAAGAACAGAAACATGGAAGTGCACACTACTGTGTGAACACGTCTTAAGGAAGATGCAGCTTGATTTGTGTTCTATATGAGAGTGGATCATGCTTGTATATTAATTTAGTAATTCAGAAAAAAATAAATTTTAGAATTTCCCTTAGAGATTTAGAACTGTCCTTATTCCTACCAAGAACAAGATGAATGAAATTATGCCCTGAAAAGAGTTGTAATCTACCCTGAAGGCTCAAGTACAAACACTTTTGAAATAATGTATTAAGATAAAGAAAGCACATATCCAGTGTAGAAAAGGTAACGAAGTAGAAAAACAGTATCATCAGGTTATGTTTCAATGAAATGAGAAAGAGGTTCAGATCTTCTATATGAATGTGTGCTCATGAATCTGAAGCAAAAGAAGTCAGGGTGCAAGAACATAAAGAATGCAGGTCAGATTAGTGGAACCTCAAGTAGGACCACATCTAGGTGGATACTCGTGGGCTGTGATGAAGGCAATAAACATATTAAAGTAAATGACAACCCAGTACTTTTCCATTTATAAATTAAGCCTATTTCCAGTAACTTAAATATCATGCGCTTACTATTATACTACATATAACTATTATTGTGTTCCCAAAATACAATGTGCAAACAATGAGGGGGTCAATAAAGTGATGTTACTTCAACAGTTCTACATTTTGAAAGTCATCCTATGACAGGAAAATAGAAAAGGACTTAAGGGAGAGAATAAGAAGGGAAGAAACTAGGGTAACACATGAATACACAATACAGAATACAGAATTCATCCTTTTAGAAAAGGGAGGAAAAAAGCAGAACTATAATTTGGTACTAGTTTGTTGTTGTGCATATGGCAAAAATGTTTGCTTCTAAGCTGTCTGCATGGCCAGTTAGGTAAAAGAAACTGGTGCTGCAAACTAAATTTTGGTGAAAAGAACAATGAATATGGATGGACAGACATTAGACAGATCTTACACATACTGTGCTTGAAGTTTCTGTGATCAAATATGTGAAAATGTCCTGCTGGTAGCTGGATATATGGTATAGGGTTCAGAAGAGATCTGAAGGGAAAATGAAAGTTTATGAAGCACAGAACCTCATGGATAGTTGAAGCCATCAGAGTAAAATGGCTCAAAGAAAATGTAGGAAAGTTGGGAGTCAGTGGATCACATCTATAATCCTAGCTCCTTGGAAGGCTGAAATCAGGACTACAGTTCGAGGCCAGCCTGGGCAACTAGTTTGTGAGACCAGAATAACCAGAGCAAAATGGACTGGAGGTGTGTCCCAAGCAGTAGACTGCCTGCATTGCAAGCAAGAAGAAGCCCTGAGTTCAAACCCCAGCCACACAAAATAAGAAAACAGAAAAACCTAAGAGCTTGAACGGAGACTAAAACCAAGGAAACACTAACATTCAGTGACTGAGGAAAATAAATAGGCCATGGAACTAGGAAAGGTGTATTTTATTTTTGTGGGACTGGAATCTGAATTCAGAGCTTCAGGTTCTATCACTTAAGCTACACCTCCAATCCAAGAAAGATATTTTAATGATTAGTCCAGGAATAAAGAAAAGTTCACCTTAATACTATTAATGTATTTCATTGAATTCATAGCTCTACGGAAAAAAACCCTGTGATCATCCACATACAGATGGTGGTATTTTTAAAAAACATGACCCCTTTATAATGGAAATTCTCAGTTAAATAGAATTCAGGACTTTCTTCACATGATAACATATGTCTCTTAACCTAAAAGGCAGCATGATAGCTGAAGAGAAAACAGAGAAAGATAAAGTTGCTCCATCTTTTCAGGTGTGCTGGTACATGCCTATAATCCCAGCACATGGCAGGCTGAGGGAAGGGCTGCAAGTTCAAAACAAAAAACACACACACAAAAAAAAGATGTTCCATCACCGTAAATATTTAGCACCGTCTAAAATGTATTATCAATTCAAGTGAAAAGAGAAAATCAAAAGTGACAAAGATACAAGGTACTGGTGAGTCATTCCTGTAATCCTAGCTATTCAGGAGGCAGAGATCAGGAGGATGGCAGTTAGAAGTCAGTCCAGGCAAAGAGTTCAAGAGACCCTATCTGGAAAACTCCCAACACAAATAAGGGCTGGCAGGGTGGCTCAAGTGGTAGACTGCCTGCCTAGCAAGCATGAGGCTATGAGTTCAAACCTCAGTACCACCAAAAAAATTTAAAAAATGAAAAAGAAAATTACAAAGATTATGATTTTCTTATAATTTATATCTAAAAAACAGGAGGATCTCCTGAAAACTATTTAAATTGACTCAATAAATTAACACACTATAAAAACTAGCATTAAATTCTTCGTATATATCAGAATTTTCATAAAATAACAAAAACACCAAAATAAAAAATGACCTAACTATACATTTAACAGCAAAAGTATGCAAGTATATAAGGGGAGAAAAAAGGTTAAGGATGTAAAAAAGAACTATGTAAATAAAAAGACTACCATATTCGTGGACAGTAAAATTCTACATAATAAAAATATCAATTCCCCCTTGTTAGCAAACTATTTAACATATTTATGGAAGTACATAGACATGGACAAGCTGATTTACAAGTTCTTATGGAAAATTAAGCAAGCAAAAATAGTGTGTTAGAACATGTTTCTGTTCTCCCAAATTGAGGTCCCTCCCTGTATTAGTTGGCTTGAGCTTCCATAGTAAATGCCATAGCCTGAGTGGCTTAAATAACAGAAATTTTGTTTCTCACAGTTCTGTAGGCAGAGAAGTCCAAAATCAAGTTTTTAGTCCCTTTTTTTAATTAGCATATAATAGTTGTTCAGGGGACTACATCATGATATTTATGTATGTGCTTATATCTTAATTAGATTCATCCCCTCCATTGTCCTCCCTCATTCCCCCTCTCCCAATTCTTAGAACAATTTCAACAGGTTTCATTATTCTATGATTCAGTCCTTGATGAGGTCTTCCTTCTGGCTGGATGGCAGCCTTCTTGATGTGTGCTCACACAGAGGAGAGAAAAATCTCTCTCCCTCTTCTTATATGCTATGAAGATATCTACATCAATTCTATGAGATTAAGGGTTGGGAGTTATGTCTTCACTTAACCACAGTAGCTCTGACAAGTCCTATGTCCAAATACAGTTACATGTGGTTTCAGGGGTAGGCCTCAATATGTAAGTTCTGAGGGACACAATTCACTCAAAGCATTGTCATTCCTATCTCTGATGAAAGATTAAATACCCCCTTGCAGTGAAGCTCAAATAAGCAAGCTTATAATCCTACATTTGCTTTGGTTGACCAATGGCATTTGAATAGATACGTGTTCTAAGGAGAAGCTGTAAGAACTATGCACACGTCATCATGTTCACCTTCTGCCATAAGGACTAACAATGTTACATAAAAAAATAACCTTCTAGCTGGCACTGATGGCTCACGCCTGTAATCCCAGCTACTCAGAAGGCAGGATTGCTGTTTGAGGCCAGCCCTGGGCAATCAGTTCATGAGACTCTATCTCGAAAAAACCCATCACAAAAAAGGGCTGGTGGAGTGAGTGGCTCAAAGTGGCAGAACATGTGCTTAACAAGCATGAGGCCCTGAGTTCAAACCCCAGTGCTACCAAAAACAAAAAAAACCCAGAAATCTAATGAAATAGGCCAAGGTAGAGGAAATTATAGGACAGATTACAAGGAAAAGGCAAATAGCGTGTCTTAAAAGTAGCATGGTGTATATGGTAATGACAAGGTGTTTTGCCAGATGAACTACCTAAAGGAAAAGATGAAATTGCAACAAAATTTATTGCATAGCCATTGGAGTAACTGGAAAAAAACCATAATGGCAGCAAAAGAATTAAGCAATTCCTCAAAAGTCAAACTGCTTGCAAATTTTTGCATTTTGTCAGAGGGCACTCTCCACTTTACACACAGGTAAAGTGAATAAAAACTGCTGCTTTACTGGCTCTGTATGATAAAGAGAAAAGTTTAGGGTTGAGAAGACAATCAGAATTTTAGGGTGAAGAGGTTACTCTTGGAAGAGAGAAAGCCAAAAAATACAATCACCTATATTTGCACAGAAAACCCATCAAAATATTTGGCTGAATACTAAACCACATGTATAAGGTAAATCTCAGCAATCAATAGAAAAAGAAGCCACTGAGAGCTAAAAGAAATTAAGAATCACCTAGTGGTCATTGCAAGAAATGCTGAGTTTGGAATTTGAGTCCAAACAATTAACTACTTCAGGTAGAACAGAAATTACTCTTTTGACAAATGTAATCATATCCACAACCCCTACAACATATATATGACTTACAATGTCCAGGACAAAATTTAATATCACATACACATAAAAGAAACAGGAAAATGTGACTCACCTTCAGGGGAAAACTGAAAAATAGAACCACTAAAAACAAATTGTACTTAACCCAGATTAAAGAAGTAGAAAAGATGATTAAACCAAAATGAACCAAGCCTTGTATGCACATATGAATAATGAAAAAAAAAAAAGATGATTAAACTATCTATAAATATTTTCAATTAAAGATAAATAATATTGTCAATGTCAAATAATGGCTCTGCTTTTAGGAAAATATGAAAATATAGTTTATTCTAAACAAAATGAATGCTCTAGTTCCAGGTATACAAATTCAAATTGCTTTGGGTATTCTAAGAAGACAGGAACTGTAACAAGTTTTAGTAAAAATGGAACAGGTCAGGCACTCATGGGCTCATGCCTGTAATCCCAGCAATTTGGGAGGCAGAGATCAGAAGGACCAAGGCTTGACGCCAGCCCGGGCAAATACGTCCAGACACAAAAAAAGGGCTGGCAGAGTGGCTCAAGTGACAGCGCACCTAACTAGCAGTTATGAGGCCCTGAGTTCAAATCCCAGTACTGCAAAAAACAATTTAAAATTTCTGTTAAGCTTAGTGTGAGGGGAGCAAATGGCAGAGTGACTTTGAAAATAT